GGGGTGATGAGGCTGGGGGTGATGAGGGTAGGGGTGATGAGGCTGAGGGTGATGAGGCTGGGGGTGATGAGGCTAGGGGTGATGAGGCTGGGGGTGATGAGGGTAGGGGTGATGAGGCTGGGGGTGATGAGGGTAGGGGTGATGAGGCTGGGGGTGATGAGGCTGGGGGTGATGAGGCTGGGGGTGATGAGGCTGGGGCTGATGAGGCTGGGGGTGATGAGGGTGGGGGTGATGAGGCTGGGGGTGATGAGGCTGGGGTGATGTGTTGCCATGGTGAGAAGCCTGGCGGTTGCAGGCGATGTCGTGCTTTCTGAACCCGCCTCTCATGGTCTCTCTTCCTCTCTCTGCAGGCACAGTCCCTTCAGACAACACAAGACCAAAGACAAACATGAGATCGACCGCATGACGCTCACCATGGTAAGATCCACTTCCTGTTTCACAGCAGACGCCCATCTTTGTGTGAAGTGACAGTAAAGCTGCTCCGAGTCATTGCTTAGCGTGGGAACTGTTTACCTTCCAGTAATACCTAACGCACACAGATGTGTGTGTGTGTCTGAGCAGTGTGTGAACACCACCTGATACACGACACACCTCCTCTACCTGTGGCCCTCTCTCAATTAAAGTGTATTTTATTCCCAAATCAGGAAATTGTATTGATACAGCCGGGTGTTAACAAGGCATTGCACAGGATTTAAGAATATAATATCATTTAATATCATATATAATGAAGAAACCCATAACAAAAATTATTTATAAAATATACAAAATAGGTTAGAATATACTGTGATGGACTTACCGGCTATTGATGTAATTAAAATGTAATTCTAGTTTATTTAAGTAAGATTTTATTTGAATCCTAAAGGTAATTTAAGACAGTAAATAAAACAAATCAACAATATACGAATATATACATTAAGTTCCACACAAGAGGACAGGAAGTGATCAAATGCTGACTCATTCCTGCGCCCAATTCCTATTGACTCCTCTCACTGTGACTAATCTGATCTCACACACACTTTTTTATTCTTCTTCACCGAGCAGTAAAGCCGCCATGTTGTTTTCTTTGAGAGAGAGAGTTCCTCCTGCTGTCCATCACAGTGGAATGTGTGTGTGTGTGTGTGTGTGTGTGTGTGTGTGTGTGTGTGTGTGTGTGTGTGTGTGTGTGTGTGTGTGTGTGTGTGTGTGTGTGTGTGTGTGTGTGTAGTGTGTGTAGTACGTAC